AAAAAACCTTACGGCCAAGAAAAATTTGCCTTTCAATTAGAATCGCATACAGCCCTTATTTTCAACTGTATTTACGACACAGTACGTTGATACGTTCATTGATGTTTAAAATACGTCGGGCGGTTGTGAGAGGAATAAGAGGGGGGAGGGGGTTTGGAGTAACAATTCTCGAGGTCAGAGGCGGGCGGGGTATCGATTTTGTACTTTGTGTTGCGTTCAAAGCCTCCTTAGATTCCTTTTGAGAGCTTATTTGGATAATCTCCTTTCTCGCCGGGGCAGCTTACCCTAACCCTATTAAGCTTATTTCTTTTTATAAAATACCTTCACTCGCTGTTGTAACATGTAATACCAACCGCTCGATTCACAAATAAGCCGACGTTACCGTGAATTTACATATTTAGTAACATCCAAATGGTCGCTTCACAGGCTCAAAATATTTTAAAAAAATCTTTCAGACTTAATTTTGATGTTTTTTTTTTCATTATTTGTCTTATTTTGCAATAAAATCTGCAAATTTTAACACAACGCCATTTCCGTGAACTATATACTATGTATAATCATCATGATATCCTTCTTTCATTTAAAGCAAGAATAAAAAAAATCGATCTGCTTTTTGTGGCATATAACCATTTTTACTGATTAAAAAGAAAAGCCTATTACGCCCGATGACATTGGTTTTACCAGATTTATAGTGAATTTTGAATACATTGACCACAAACTTGACAAAAAATATGTTTTATTTCCCCTCACAGACAGAAAATTTGGATCTTGTTTACTATTTCCCCCCTATGGTAACTTGTAATGAATCTCCCTCCCCCTCCCTATAAAGAAAGAATTGAACAGTTTAGCCTTAAGGAATTTTGTACCTTGTTTACTAACCCATACCCCCCTATTGCAATAGGGAGGACTGTTGAAAAGAATCCAAAAATTTTGCGGACGAAAAATACACGGTAGTTACATCAGTAGTTCAGTTAGTAGTTAAAATCCGGAGTGATTAAGTTGAAATCCGAATATTTTGATCAAAGTGATAGGTGATGGTTACATTCTAAGGGTTCATTTCAAAAAAAAACTTATAATGCCGCCGGGTTTTTCTGCATCGAAAAGCGGAGAAAAATCTTGATGTATTCACTTTTCAGAATTCGTTGAAATTATACAGATTTTTTTTCATCAAGTGCATTCATTATTTCTCTTGTAAGTTACTCAAAGTCTACTGAATTGCAATACCTACAGCTCTTCGCACCCCCCCCCCCTCGGCCATCCTCTCCACCTATATGTGATCGTTTCTATGCAGCGAGGGCAGCCTTAATCCCCTTGGGTGTCGGATTCCTATTAGATCCATAATAAAACACCAACTCTATTCTTATTTACCAATCAATTATTCAATTAATTTCCACAAGTGGGACCTCTTAGCTTCTATTGTTATCCCGCTTAAGTCCTCTCTCTGAAAAGTAAAATGGGGGAATTCAGAATATCTCTTAGCCTATTTTATTCCCCTTTTATTCTAAGAGTTATTCTCCCGAGCCCATTTAGCCCGCCTTTTTAGCTATCGCTCTTTCCACTTACTTGCTTTTTGTATTTTTTGCGAATCGTTTTCTTTAACATACATTACATTACCCTGCTCTACGTGAACAGTACTATATGGTACCCAAATTCACAATTGGGAAATTTCATTTACCCGTGAAACTCGTATTAACAATAGATCTGTGTATTGGGATTAGTTGAGTCCAATTTGCATTTGAGAACTAACTGACTAAAAGTAATGACCCAAATTTGAAGTTAACTTCTTTGCATTTATAGAAACTCTAAAAATAACTTGCGGCCTTTTAGAGCAACAAGAAACATCATTCGCCTTTTTTTTCGTTATTTTGGTAAATCTAAATCCCAATTTATTTAAATTGTGACCAAAGCAGGCCTTTTTCAGTCCAAATATTTGCTTTCTTGTTTGAGTATTCAAAAGTCTAACATTTTTCTATTCTTATTTATTTCGAATGAATTGAATTTAAGTTTCATAACTTATCGTTTTTCGATGTTAATTTTAAGAAAGCTTCTTACCTAATCAATCTGCTGCGATGTTTGACACTATGGACCCTGTTTTATTTGCCATACTTACCAACTGCATTCTAGTAGTGGGACTTATGTCCATATTTTTTGCCTGCTTCACTATGCTTCTCATTCTTCTATGGCCTCGAAGGCTCCGACTTCAGTTTTTGTCAATTGATTCTTAATTTTTCTCAAATTGTATTTTTTTTCTGGAATTGTAAATGTATTGAATGAATCTATTCGACTATCCCCCAATGCTAACCTCGTGACAAGGAGGTTGCAACTTTTTGAGTTTAACGAACAAATGAACAAAATTTTTCTTCTCGGTGTTCTCCCGTTTTCTCTGTTCTCTGCAATTAATTAGGATATAGGATTGAAATTTCGACGCATGCTAGAAGATACTTGGCAGGAGCATTTGAAAAATCTAGGTTTGACGCCGTAAAGTGGCCAGTATATAAAAACAAGTTTCAGTGTTGTTCTTGCTGTGGAAACATCCTCGCAAACAACCCAAGAAATTTAACTTTATGGTCTCAAAATGGTTCTCATTCACAGAGAAGCTGATGTATTTAATTTACTTTTTATGTAACAGAAAAACGACAATCAAAGTAATTGAAAAAATCTTGGTCCAGTGTCAAAAAATGGCAAAATAAATAGGAGTAGTTTTGCGCTGATGATCAAAATAAGCCAATAAAGAACCAGCCATTATTTCGGAAAAACGACTGCTCCGATTGAAACACAGGGTTCTCATTAGAAGCTATGTTGCAACTAAATTTTACCAACTGTCTATTATAAGCGCCTAATAACTTTTCATGCATATGTTGTCAAAACAGATACGACCGTTTTTGACACCAGACCTTTGAGAAGCTGATGGAAAAACAACAGACAAAATAATTGAAAGTGTGTAAGGTCTGGTGTCAAATCTTGAGACGTAAAATCAAACTTCTTGAGTTGTTTGCGAGAATATTTCCATAGCAAGAATACCTCTGAAAGTAACTATCATAAACTGGCTATTTTATGCTTTCAAAAGGCAACTTCTCAAATTTTGTTCCAACTAGCTCCTTCCAATTAGTTTCATTTAGCATAGGTTATAATTTCAAAACTATAATTTTAAAATTTACAGAGAAAGCGACGAAAGCTTGAAGAAGATTTCGTTCATTTGCTCGTCGAAAAAAAATTGCACCTTCTATGTTCCATGACTGTAGTAACGACAATTAATACCTAAACAGGATAATTATTTAAACATTTGTTCGCATTTCTCGCCCCTTTTTGTTGAGGAGTCTGTTTTTTGTCCTTTTTGTTTGGTTTGGCAATGAAGTTATTCTTTTGCCTGAAACAGGCGATTGCCACAAGAAAAAGAACCACACATTTTTAACGTTTTTTTATTTCAATGAACTTTGGCAAAAGTTGAGTTCGGAGTTCGGAAAAATTGATAAAACCATATAGAATGAAGCTAAAAAAAGTTTCTATGGTTTGTTGTTTTAGCTGTTATTTTTTACAATTTTTACAAATAGTGTGTTTTCAAGCGTTAAAGGCTTTGCAAAAGCAAAATGGCGAAGCTGTTTGGCAAGTAAGTTGAAATTTTTCAATGAAAAAGTGAAGTCGGCCCTTGAAGGTATTTCCTGCCGGAAATTATCCTACAATTCCTATTGGCGGTCGTGCTCAATATCACGAATGGGTTCGTGCGGCTGTTGCAGTCGGATCACGAGACGTCGTGCGTAGCGACTGCGTGGATCGATCACTACTCGATGTTGGCTGTGTTCTTTTGGGTGGCTATTCCTAGTTATGAGTTGACGTTTACTTTGAGGGACTCAACTGGATGTTTACCCTCCGAGAACAGTCGGTCAATTGATCAAAGGTTAACAGTATTCAATTTGATAGCACTCAATATGTTTAGTAAATTCGATGAAAACTTCAAAAAACACGGTAAGGCGAGACTCTGAGGGAAAATGGCATTTGATTTTTTCTCTTTCTCAGTGTCGAGAAAAAGGGGTATGAAATTTTAAAATTTTGGTCTAATTTCGAGCTAATAAACTGAGCGTGCAGGCCGAAAAGAGCTTATTTAATCGAATTTTGTTTTTCGTTTTTTCAAGTCATTTGTTAAATACAAAAACTGTTTTACAATTGGCCTATTTCACTATTACTGTCGAATATGCTTAAGTTTTATTGTTTCTTCAGAGCTTTTTATCGCACCACGTAGAAAAAACGACACTAATTCGAAAAAAAAATTCTGTATTTTTTAAGACTATGGTCGGAACATTCTGCGCTACTTGCACGGTAACCGGCTATCCTTGTTTCTAGAAAAAGTTAGTTTTATGTTCATTGATAATATTTTTATTTCAGATCACACCGTAGCTTGGAGCGAGACGGCAGAAACAGACAGATTGGCTACTCGATTGTGGCCTGGGGCATCCCTCTTGCTCTCACTTCCCTTACCCTTCTAGTACACCTCATGTACCCCCAGTGGGAGACTAGAGTCTACGGGGGAGTCTACTGCACAGTCCACCAACAGGACAGCCCCCTTTTCCTCATCTTTTTCCTCACCCTTCTCACCAACTACCTCCCCCCATACAAGATTTTTTCTAATTTCAAAAGCAAAATTTTGCGATAAAGTTTTGAGAAGTCTGATATGGCGATCGTTTCTATTCACTCTTTCATGTTTTGCACAACCCCCCCCCCTCAGTTTTGTTAGAAAAAAAACAGTTATTATCCCGACAAGCAGTGAGTTTTGTAATTTGGGGTCTATAATTTTTTGGGGGACTATAATGGGAAAGACCCCATCATTTTACCCCATTATTTTTTCAAGGAAAAAAATCATTTAGTTGAATTGCAATGAGACACAGAAAAAAATCGGTCAAAATTTTATAGGTTAGGCTTCAAGCATAATCTTGGAAAACCAAAATTAGAGAACTTTTAAAACCAGGCTGCAAATTAAAATGATAATCTTGAGGTGGTTCGGAAGAGGAAAAAGATTTTTCACATCCAGTTCTCCTTCTTATTCGCATACGTTTTGCCGCAGTTCGGTCTCATGTTTTTGGCTCTGAGTTGTTTCGCTTTCGTAGTGCACCAATATTCTAGTGTTCCCTTCTCAGCACAGTAAGTCTGCAGTAACTTTATTGTATGGCCAGAAAAAATTTTTACCATAAAATGTATCGTAAATGCAAATAGTTATCCAGAGCTGATTTAAATTAACCGAGCAAAACGCGTTAAACTTGAAATTTAAAACGCGTTTTTCTCAATTTGAGTTGAGTTTAGGTGAAACTTATGAACACAAAACTTGCTTAAAATTTTAGCAGAATTAATATGGTGTAATTTGTTTTGCGAAATTCGGGCCCAAAATTTTACCCCAAAAAGGGTTATTTTGGTTTTTCTTAGTTAATCAAAAATTACGCCAAAAATACCCAGTTTATCACAAACATAATTATTTCAAAGTGAGCCACTTACGCAGTCCAACAAACTTTAAGAAGGGTATATTCTCCACAACATTGTATAAGCTAATTTACTTTTGTTTGATAGACCAAAAAGGTCGTTTTTACTATATAAAATATCATTTTTTATTTAAAAACAATTTTTAAACGGTTTGCAATTTTTTTTTTGAGAATATACCCTTTTTAAAGTTTGTTACGCTACGTAAGGGGCTCACTTTGATATAATCATGTCGGTGATCGATGGGGTGTTTTTGGCGTAATTTTTGATTAACTAAGAAAAACCAAAATGACCCATTTTTGTGGTAAAATTTTGGGCCCGAATTTCGCAAAACAAATTACACAATAATAATTCTGCTAAAGCTTTAAGCTAGTTTTTTTCATAAGTTTTCGCCTAAACTCAACTCAATTTGAGAAAAACGCGTTTTAAATTTCAAGCTTAGCTCGTGTTTTGTTACGCTTTGCTCGGTTAATTTGCTCGGTTAATTTAAATCAGCTCTGATTTTAATTTAAATCAGCACTGTAAATCACTAACCATTGAAACAAAAATTTAATGCAAACTTTTTTTGATAGCGTTGATTTTGCTCATTCTCAGTTCTAAAAAATACACTTTTATCAATTTACCACTGAAACTTTGAAAAAGTGCTGCAAAACTAAAAACGATTTTCATACCAATTTTCTATAACATAATAGAATTTTTCTGTTTTGGCGAACCCATAGAGCACTAAATCTATTATCCTCATCTGAAAGACGGTCGGCAAAAGTCTCAAAATATAACTGAAAACTTGTCCTGTAATCTTGTTAACTTAAAAAAGTAATCTTAAGAAAAAAATTTTTTTTTCAAAGACTGAAGGAGTCGATCTACTTTGTGCTGATCATCATGGTGTGGACGGAAACTCTGTGGTGTCTGAATCTGGTATACAATCTGCTCGCTTCAGACATCCTCTTCATATCCTACTGGTTCGCCATCTCTTGCCTGCCCGGATCAGTGGGAATATTCGCCACCTACCGCTGCTGGAGAATTCCTTCAGACACCGACTCACAAATTCACACAAATCCGAATCACAACTGTAAGCTAAATTCTCTCACAATTATCCCCGTCTCAATCAACAGAACTGGCACAAAACTTATTAACTTTGACTGAACAACTTTTGAAATTAACGAGAAAAATCGAAATTAAATAAAAATGTATTTTCACAAAATATTTGTTTTTTTTTCTCCATAGTTTTTGCCGCTTTCTTGTCAAATGACAAAATAGGCAAACTAGGTCGACTAAAGAGATTTTCCTGTCGACCAAACAGATCGAACAAAATGGATAGCGTTAAACAGTAGCTATAGGAAAACTTTATCTGGTCACGTATTCGAAAACCCCAAAAGGGGGAAATACCATACTTTTACTTCAAAATGATTTGCGGGATTTTCTGAAACTTTTTGGTAGTTTTTTTCATGAAATATGAAAATGGTAGAGTGTGCTATAAAAAAGTTAGAAGAAATCATCGAAAAAGACAACAACGGAAGCAAAGCTTGTTGTTATGGTGCAGTGGGGATCAACTTGGACTCTAATTCTTGTTATCAGTCGTTGAGTTCACGGGATCGGGCCTTGCTTGTTTTCACTCTCAAAACGAGTAGATACGTTTGCAGATTAAAATACACCCTTCAAGTTTTGAAATGATTTAATACACTTTTCGAACAAGTAAAAGAAGAAAAAAAGTTTTCAAAATGAGGAGGCTCAAAATCATCCAATTGTAAATGATTTTTTTTGGATAATGAAAAATTTTTGCTGAAATTTGTTTTTGCTTTCATTTGTGCATTTTTTTTAGACAACCGGGTTCCAAAAAACAATGAGAGATTTTGAGGTGTTTGCGAATTGCAGCTTCTCCGTTTTCTGAACGGTTGTAAGTTCATCTCACATGTTTTGTAGAATTTCTTGTGTTTGTTTTAGTTAAGGTGTAGATGTTGGCCGTTTCAAACAAAAATCCATGCATTTTGCCTTCTTTGGTTTTTTTTGTGCATTTTTAAGAAATCTTATAATGAATAATTACTTAAAATTAATTCATTAATTGATTTTTCTGTGCAGTAGTAACAGATCTTATAATGATTAATCAGTTTAACTAATTGAATATTAATTAAATGATAATTATAATAAATTATAATAAATACTCATTAAAATAGTAATCATAATCATAATAACCGAAAAAAATTTTTATAGCCACAATCATCATACTCATAATAATCATAGTAATAATCATAATTATCATAATGATAATCATAATAATAATCATAACTATAATAATCTTAATCATAATCATAATCATAATCATAATCATAATCATAATCATAATAATAATCATAATAATCACAATAATCATATGAATCATAAGCATAATCATAATAATCATAATTATAATAAAAATAGTAATCATAATAATCATTATAATGATCATAATAAAAATTATACTTTTGATAATCATAATAATTGAAATAGTCATAATAATCATAATCATAATCATAATCATAGTCATAATAATAATCATAATCATAATAAAAATTGTAACCATAAAAATCATCATATTAATCATATTAAACATCATAGTATTAAAAATCATCATAATCATAATAATCGTAATAATCGTAATTCCAATATTAATAATCATAATAATCATAATCAAAATCAAAATCACCATAAGGATCATATTTAAAACAATCCTAATCATATCAAGACTGCTCGTATCAGGGCGAAGCCCTGAATGTTACGACTGCCTTTTAAGTTTTATGGAGCAGTATTAACATGAAAAAATGGAATGTAATAAAACAAAATGAATTTTTTTTTCTGAAGTTTGAACTTTATGAAAATGATCCCCCCACATGCCATATAAAGTACAAAAGAATAGATTTCGCTGCTAGTAACAATCAATTATGGCAATAAACTTATTTCAACCAATTGGGGACGATTTCTAAGGCGGATTAAATCTCCGCTTACGCGTTAAATATATCGCGCGTTAATTGTCCCAAATTGGCCAAAATGCCAATCTTTAAACCCCCAGAACTTTACGAAAAATGATCCCAGGTGAAATATCTTTTCAAATTTAAGCTCAGGACAACAATACCTTTCGAATGATATTTAAAAATTTTGTCAAAAATGGCTAGTTAAAAAGTCGAAATTTGTCTGAAGAAAAAAAAACCCACCCCGAGCACAAATATTCGTATCGAAAGTCGGAACAAAAAGTATGTTTATTGGTTTTTGTTTCAGTTTAATTTATATTTAGTTTATTGATCTTGAGAAAACAAATTGTTGTAGAATTGTGAATGAAACAAAATACTAAAGTTAGTTTCATCAATTGAATCAGTTAAAAAAAGTCATTTTGTTTTGCTGCTGTCCAAATATTTTATTTTGAACCTAACTAAAACAATATTAGTAGCCCTATACATTTAATGTGAGCTGAATTTATAATTGTTTGCTAAATGGAAAAATTGCACTTCAAAAACACACAAAAAAAATGACGAATAAAAGCGAGATTCAAAAATGAAGAAAATATGAGAATACGAGCTTTAATAAGTGAAAAAAAAACAGCGACCCACGGAGTTCAACCTCTCAAACCCCAGAGTTAAAGCACAGTGCTCTCAAATGCCCTCACAACAACAAAAAAATGATCTATAGTATTTTAGCGATGCTCCGGCTATTACTACTAAAGATCATTTCGCAATTTAATTTAAAATTTTTCTGATTAGTATCGCCAAACTGTGCCAATGGCAACCCTCAAGTGAGTGCGTACTGTTCTCCATTGCACCATAGCCAGACGCTGCTTCGGCCTAAAGCGTCATCGGCTAATGGAACTCTTTCTTACGGGCTGAATCACCTTCTCCAGTCGCCAAATCATATGTACTCCCCAATTCATTTCTCGAGTACGTTCCGTCCTGTTAACTCGCAGCAATTTAACCCATTCTTGTGTCAAAGTAGCCCGAATAAAAATTTCGTCGCAACAATGCCGAGTAAAAAACCGAAGCACAGAGGCGACGTTGAGAACAGATGGCCGAAGACGTTGACTAGAGCAAAACCGACAAGTGTTAACAGCACGAGTCGTGATTACGTAATTAGGCACCCGACTTCAAACACGTTACCTCGTCGGTTCGGCTCGTGGGATTGCACGCTTAACTCGGGTGGCGAAGTCGGAGTCTCTTTTCACCAGCAGAGGCGAAGTTGTCAGAGCGAATATTTTGCGACTAATTCCGAACACAGTGATGGTTCAAACTCAAACACGACTCACAATGCTATCACAACAATTGATCCACGGGTAAACTGCGATCAGTCAGGGCAAAGTTCATCGTCGCGAAATATCAATAAGAACAAAAATGGACTAGTTTAGTGACTCCGGTCATTTTTCTTAAAAAGGATCACAATCAGCTCTATATGAGAAAGTAGCTCTGCAAATCTGTGAGACACCAATCATTTAGATACATATACAGGGGCGGATACAGGATTTTCTCGAGGGGGATGATTTTCAAAAAGTTTTTTTTTGGCGCGCGCTCCCCCCTCAAAATTAGTATATATTGGCGCCCATGGCGCCTTTAGAAAACTTTTAGGGTCCGAAAACAAGTATGGATAGTACAACTCGAAATAGTAGAAAGGGTGGACCTTTGGGTCGGCAGGGGGCAGCCCCCTCTAAATCCGCCCCTGTATATATATAGATATATGATATCACTTTATAAATTTAGCTAAATCAATAATTGAGTTAACCTAATATATTGTTAAAAATTGAAGTTTCTTCAAAAATTGCGCTTTTACCCAATTCCTTTTGCTAATTTTATTGACCGCTACTCTGCTCTATCTAATCGATCATTAGCAGATTAACAGGTTAGTTATTAAAAATATTTTGATAATCTCTGAAGCTCAAAAACATATTAAAAGACTTGGGAGAGCAAGTGTCTCGTAATCTGAAACTAGAGCTTTTTTCTTGTAAAAATCTTTTCTTACAAATGTTTCTTGCTTTTCTTACTTGCTTTATAATTGAAACTTAACAACTATCAGACTCGTTCCCATTTGGCTCAGAGGTAAAACCGTGGCTTTTGCAACCCAAAGTCAAGGTTTCGAGTCCCGGCCGGACCTTGTTGTTTTTTAGTATTTATTTTTTCCGTTAAAATGCGTTTGTCTGCTGAATTTTTGTCAGCTGAGTTGCTACATTACGGAATTTTTTGGGCTATAAGCAACATTCAACCATTAGTTTTAATGCTCAACTGGTGTCTGCTCAAAGATTGTAGGCTTCGTTGCCACCTCACGGTTTTTTTGTGCTGTGGGGAAGTGCAAAAGTTGCTCATTGTAGTTTCAGGAGAATTCAAATTTTTTTTAAAAAACTATTATTTTTTTTGTTCAACTCGAATCTGCTCAAAGATTGTCAATTGTTAGCTTTGTTTTCTCTTCAAAATTTTTTTTCGTAAACAGTTTAATTTTCCAATGTCTGGCATGTTTGCCCAGAATGAACTTCTATCCAAACAAAAGAAAATTTAAAATTTAGTAGAACTTTTTTAAAGTTGTTTTTTACTTCTTTTATTTTTTGTGTTATATCGAAGCTCTGCATCTGCTGTCTTTAAATTGTATCGAAAATGTTGCGAAGTTTTGCTTCGCCTCTGTGTAAAAAAGTTTAAAATATTTAAGCTTTTACTCTATTGGTAACTTCAGCTAAATTGACCACACAATCAGACACAGATCGAAAATTTCAAAAAAAAAGATCAGTTTTGTATCCCCGATCAGAGCTGAAGAGTCACTTTTCAGAATCTGGTGCTGTACTGGAGTTTTACCGAAGTGTTACTGAACCAGTTTTGATTTCCACTGCAGGGACCCATACAGGCAATCTTATATCTGGTATTTATCTAGCTATTTCATTTTTCCTGATTTTTTTCCTAAAAACTTTTGGATTCAAGGTGTCCTAAATTTTGAACTATTCTTAAATCAGTAATAGTTTAGTGAAAATATTTCATGATTCTGCGCCGCCTTCCACATCAATTAGGCCTTAGCAATTGCTCAAAATAGTATTTTAGAAACCTTAAAAGTTTGGCTAATTTTACATTCAGACTAAAATTCCTGGTCAAAAAAAAAACTTTTTTCTTAGATAGCGTCACCATGAAAGCAAGAAAATTTTACTTGTTATCCCTTTTTAAATTAATTACTCTTGCGACAAGCTAGAATGTTGCAACCAAGTACAAGACTTTTTCCGCCGTAAACAACTTGCTTCACAGAAAAAGTACGTTTTGTAAAAGTACGTTAAGTGTAGGCTTTGGGTGCCTGTTAAAAATTTTTATAGAGTATTTTTTGTGCCGAAACTTTTCGGTAGAATTTTGATGCTGGAGGGTCAGCTTTAATTCAGTCGGTTTTTTTTTTCATTTTTTTTTCTTTTTTTCTTGAATACTACATGAAAAAATGAAATCGTACTTACATTTTTTGACAAACTCAAATCAATTTCCCAGACCAACTGTAATAAAAGTTAAATAAAACTTTCGAATACTTTCTGAAAAAAAGTTTTCGAAATTTTTTGAAAAAAATACTATTTTTTATCGGTTCTTTTTCTAGTTCGCGTAGCATCTTTGGTTCAAACCTTTGTTGATTTTTTTTGTTCAATCAGCTGTAATAATTGCATTTTTGTTTGTGCAGATACTATTGTTCTTGACTTTTTTCATTTTTTTCAGATTTATTTTGAGTTTGTTGACAACAATTGATTTTTTTCTATTTGCTTTCTCGCCAATAATGTTTAAAATTTGCCATTTCATTTGAAAAATTAGGAGCAAGTAAGTCTGAAGTTTTATCAAATTAGATTTCAATACAGTTAAAAATTGCAGTAATTTTGTTCCAAATTGCCACACAAATTTTTTTTATGTCAATTCGAGTTGCTGTATGTCGCTTTTTTTCTCACGCTTCTTGACTTCCCGTAGTTTTGCGTAGTCTCACTTTCTTAAGACAGTAACGAAAAAGCATTTTTTGAAATCTTTTTTTTAAAAAAAAAGTTCTTGTTTTTTCATGTCAAGACAAATTGGAACGTTTCGGGGTTTCTTCGTTTTGATAAAGATCTGTATTGAAAAATATGTGTAAATTACCTGTATTTTTATCTTTTTCATTAAATATGGTTCAATGGAATTTTTTTGTTTGAGTTTTTGTTTATTTTTTCTCTTAAGTTTTATTTTCGTCTGAATGGTTTTAGTTTTGCCTCGGTAGTTAAACCGGAGTTTGTTTCCGGTTTCATAATTTTCAAAGCCATTTGATTTTTTTTAGCCAAGGTCTGTTTATTTTTGTTTTTTTTTGTTTTTTTTTGTATCTATTTTAGTATCAGTTTTTATTAAACCGTTTTTAACAAAGCCAAAAAGGAATAAAGAAGTATAAGGATATGGAAATTTTGAAATTTCTTTCGAGGAAAGTCTTATTTTCATTAGTTTTTTAAATTTGCTTTACTTCTGTGTTAGGGTTTGTAATTAACCAACTTGACAGCTGGTGAACTAAATCATCCGCATCTTTATCTATTAATCTATCATGCTCAACATTTTAGTGCAAATAAATATAGCACGGCTAAAGAGTTCAGATGATGATGCAAAATTAAAATAGGGCAGACTATTTTTTTCTATTGACCCATCAGTAATATTGCTAATGAGTTAAAGGCTCTTTATCAGTAAAGGCCCCCAACCTTAAGCAAATAACAAAAAAGTTATAGCCCACCAGTGAACGAACAGTTTTATATGGTTGTGTTACAATTAGCTGGAGTTTTATAAAGAGAAAGCGAAGACGGGGATTATTCTCCGTTTTTCTTGATATTGACTAAAAGGGCGAACAAATTGTGGTAACATATCAAAATAAAGAAAGTTAGCAAAATAAGTTTTTTGTTTCCTGTTTTAGAAGTTTTGAAAACAAAACAAAGAATTTTTTTGGTTCTTGTTTTTGCTATACGAGATTGGAGAAGTCTTACTGGGCAAATGTGAACTGAGCAAATCTTCTATGACTTTGATCCCTCATTTCAGCGGGATCAATGAGGAAGAGCAAAACAATTACACCCGGCATATTCGTCCATGGAAATCCATGGAGCCAGGACTGGCCAGGGAAACCTTGCCAAAACTTGCCAAGGGTCTCCCTGGACTAAGAATTTTCCAGCGGTTTCCCTGAACTGGTCTAAGGATCCACGGCTGGTTTTTATAAAATTTTGTTTGGAACCAGACCTTGAACTGGAACAGGAATTTGGTGAAACTTAAAGTTTGCTAAGAAATGCAAACCTGTTTTAACACACATGGGCGGACCTAGGATTTTCTCGAGAGGGGGGCGGGGGGACGGATTTTAACAAAAAAAGAGAAAAAATTAGCCGACCTTTTTTTCGGTCGACCAAATTAATTTTCCGAGCACAAATAATCAGAAAGACCCCATTTTGACGAAACTTTCTGCACCGCAGTCAAGTTTTTGAAACAGGCCAAAACAGGTGTTCTTAGGCTTTTTTGGAAAATATTGCCTACAAAATCGTGTTTGTTTTGGCCCGCGCTTCTCCCTCTAAATGAGTATATTTTGGCGCCAGAAAAATTGGTATATTTTAGGGTCAGTCAGCCAAAAATGGATATCTCAAAATAGTGCAAAGGCGGACCCTTTGAGTCGGCAGGCGGTCGAATCCCTGAGGAGGGGGAGGCGAACAATCGCCCTCGCCTCCCCCTCGCCTCCCCCCCCCCACCTAAATCCGCTGGTGCAAAAGCACATTAATCAAGAATTTTGTCATAAAACACCCACAGTTTAACTGAAAAGAACCTCACAGAAAAACTGCACTTGGAGATTTACTATTTAATTTACAATCGAAATCTTCCCACCATTTTTTATTGAAAGATAACCTTGTGCATATGGCCACGCAGCTTCTATCGTGAAAAAAAAACTGTTTCAATAATGCCGGCTGTTTTAATGACACATAAAGGTTGATTATACCTTTAAAACTCAAAAACGGAAGTTGTGGCTTTACACAAAAGGCTGATTGATACTTTTGGTTGTTGTGTGTAAAAAATGAGTACTGACTACGTTTAAGGCCGAGCGATGAAGTCATAAATTTTAAGGTCAAAAGGTCTGAAGTTCAAATCTCGGGTCTGACAAAAAATTTTTGCAATTTGGTAAATATTTGAAATTGAGGAACCCAAAAATGGGTAAACCAGGACAAAGTAAGTTCTGGTCTAATTGCTCAGTTGCGTGGCCTTATCAATTTAATCCTTCCTATTGAGAACTTATCAAAATAATCCGGTCATAAACTAGTGTGGCAATAGCCCGGTCAATTTTGGGACAATTTTGTCTGGGAACCAAATGTCTTGGACACTTTTTGCATTTTGGACCCTTTTTGCATTTTGGACTATTTTTGCCGGGACATAAATGTCTGAGACACAAATGTCCTAACACGGATTTTGGGACATTGTGAAATTGTTCTGAAATTTTCTGTATTTTTTGAAGTTTTTTTTAAATGTAACTAACAGCTGTCCATAAATGGTTTCCAT